TTGGCATGATGCCTGCGTTCAGGTAGAGGTAGTCCAGCCGGTTATACCTGCAGCAGATAGTCAAAGTCACACATACTCACCTCGATAACACACAGAAAGCAATGTGTCGACAACATAACCTGATCAGTGCTGATAACTACATGAATATGTGCTGCTGTGAGTCCGTCCTCCCACCTGAGTTTGACCTCCTGAGCAGCAGAGAGGACAGAGGCGATGCTGCTGGTGTCCATCTGCAGCAGTGCCACCTGGGCTGAGGGGTGAGAGGTGAGGAGGGCGGAGCGAGCTGCCTGAGCACGCTGCATGTTCCTGCAGGCCAGACACAGCTGGAGACCCTCTGTGTCCTCAGAGAGGAGACGCTCACACAGCGCCAGGCCAATGCCACTGCAGGGACACACAGTGTTAACGTGGTGGGGAGTGACCCGGAACATGTGCTCAAGGTACTAAATGTGAGTTTTTCCATTTACTTAAACTTTAATTCAGAGGTAAATACTGTACTTTTTACTGCACTACAGTTATTTGATTACTTTGCATATTTAGATTCTAAATATAAAGTACAACAAGTTCAGAGACTATGGTAAATTATTATAGGTTGCCTCAGCACCTGCCTTCAGGACATCAGGAGTTGGATGAGCAGGAACTTTTTGAAGCTCAATAGCAGCAGAAGTGAGGTCCTGCTCACTGGCTCCAGAAACACGCTGTCCAAAATCCAAAGCACCTTCGTCCCTCACATCATTATTGCTAACTTCCCCGTCCCCTTCTCCAGCCAGGTCAAGAGCCTCGTGTCATTCTGGACGACACTCTTTCATTCGAACCCCACATGAAAAATATTACCCAGACAGCTTCCTTCCACCTCCGCAACATTTCCAGACTCCGCCCATCACTGTCCCAGTCCAGCACTGAAGTCTTGGTCCACAGATTTGTCACATCTCATATTGACTATTGCAACGCAGTTCTCTCTGGAAACTCATTAACAGGCTTCAAATCATTCAAAACTCTGCTGCTGGATCATCACCTGCGCCATATCATCTGACCACATCACTGCCATTCTCATCCAACTACACTGGCTCCCTGTTCAGAACCAGAATGACCACAAAAACCTTCTGCTCACCTTCAAAGCCCTCCATAGCCGAGCCCCCACCTATCTCTCTGACCTCCTCCAGGAGTACACCTCCTCCCACTCCCTATACTCTTCCTCTGCTGATCTCCTGACCATCCCCACCTCACGCCTCAGCACCGTGGCTGCCAGGGCTTTCAGCTGCACTGCCCCCTACGTCTGCACATCCAACAGTCTGACGGCATAACATCCTTCAAATCCTGTCTCAAAACCCACCTGTTCAAACTGGATTGTGTGTGTGTGTGTGTGTGTGTGCCCAATTTGCATCTCTTGTTCTGTGTGTTATTTTATGCATTTTTGGGTGCACTATCCCTTTAAGGAGCTACATTTTGATGCTGATAGTATTTTCACACTGGGGTACTACTTTTACTTCTTTAGAAAATCTGAGTACTTCAAATGTCCATCACAACAGCCGAGACAAAGCATCTAGAGAGGAGACTTTAAATACAATACTGACCAAAATAAATCCACATACATGTACTGTATGTACAAATATTAACAGTACTGAATATGCAGTGTTTCTCAACATGCTATTATACAAACTTAACTTGTTGTGCAATGCAATTTTTCTCTTGTATCTATTATCTTGTTTCCCCCCTGTTGCTGCAGCTCACTGAAACTCACCAAACTAAACTAACTAAATTACAATAAAGCATTTTAATGATACCGCCATTCAGACAAGGTCTCTATTGAAGAGAAGAGTCAAATAAATAAATTAAATAATACAATATCCATACTTTGAATAATTACCAAAAGGTTAATAAAGGTACTGGTGGAAGAAGTACTCAGATATTTTTTGCTAAGATGCTCTGTTACAGGTAATAGTCCTGCAGATATAGTACCAAAAGTAAAAATATTCATCATGCATAATGGGCCATTTCACAATACATATAATTAATTATTAGATTGTAATTACTGATGCATTAATAAGTGTCACCAGTGTTACAGCTGGTGAAGGTGGGGGTAATTCAAACACTGATGGGTTGCTTAATCTATAACAATACGTCATCATTTATTAGTTCATTCATATTTTGTTTAGTAATTTAAAGTTATCAAACAAATGTAGTGGAGTAAACAGTACACTATTTGTCTCCAAACTGTGGTGAACATTATAAAGTAGCATTAAATGGCAGAAAGCCTCAAACCTGTACATGATGAGTTATGTATCTTTAATGTCTCGCGTCACTCACGATGCCGGACTTCAGGTTTATATTAAAACAATAAAGACGGTTATTACCTGTTTGCTCCCGTCACCAAAACCACCTTGTTCATTTTTTTCTGCTCCAAACTGGAAACAAACCTCAGACACAAAGTTTTTATCGCAGCATCAACAACTTGTCTGTCCGGTCCCGGAAGTGTTTCACCCCGATGGGAGTCACTCCTTCGCCCCGCCCCCTTCGTGCTGTGATTGGACACAGCAGCAGCACTCAGCCAATCAGAGCCTCACTCCAGTCGGCTCAGCTTCAGGCGCCGCCCACACGGTAATAATTAATATGTGCTTATGAATAAAGCAGCAGCTGTCAGACAGGTAGAGTTCCCTGTTTGAATTTTATTTGTATTTCGTCTATCAATGTACAACACTTGTTTATATAAAAACATTCTCACTGAAAAACATTTGAGTACAAATATGTAATAAAACCAATCATGAATCCTGTCAGGGTGCCATTACATTTTTACAGCTATACATCCGCCCCCACTTCTTTTATAACACAGAGGAATGTAAAAAAGGCTTCTTTTATCCGATGAGAGTCATCATGTGAGTGTCATATTTAATTTACATGTACAGATTTTTGTCCTTCCTAGATTGCAAAACACAGAAAGATAAAGATGGTTTCCACACAGAGGTTGAAACGAGCACGACTGAGTGTCTTTTATGACGCTAAGTGGGACAAAAGCCTCTGATAAGAGAGTTGAGCCTGTAAGTACAGCTGAAGTGGTGAAACAGTGGTTTGCAGGAAGAAGTTCAAGCTGTTAGTTATACACAGAAATATGGCAGAGAGGAAGAGGAAAGAATCCAGCATACGTCAGTTTAGAAAAAAGAAACTGACAGTCGAAAACCTGCAGATGAATCATGAGCTGTGTTTCATGAGATAAGGGACTGTTTGTTATTTATGATGGCGCAAAAAGAGGGAGGCACATCAAATCATTTTTTATGCACGGGTGACCGCTGAGGGGAGGAACACACAACTTTAATAATTGCATTTTGTACTTATTTTAAATACGACCTGAACCCTAAAACCTGACAGCAGGGTTTTTTTAAAAAAATGCCAAAATTACATCATGTGTCGCAGCCACAACCTGTAAAAACAGGAATTATCGCCGCATTTTAAAAAATCTCTGACTGTCACTGTACATATTATGTGTGATGAACACCTGACAAACGCTTCCGTCAGGATGACGGAGCAAATCTACGCGTAAAATAATGACGTTTCATCAAATCACTGCGTCATATTCTGCAGGTCTCATTTAAAATGTCACCAAAAATAAACCATTTGTACAAAATGGATCCTGTAAAAAACAAAACAAATAAAATCCCATTCAATTCTGCACCCCTGCATTTATGACAGCGGTGTTAAACCAAGTCTATTTTATAAACATCTAATAACAGCCTCTGAGCCACATTACTGATATTATTCCAGCTGCTGCGGCCACAGTCATCCAGGTCATTGCAGTGCTGTATCGCAGGCAAACGGACGTGCTTGAGTTTCACCTCTCATCCAAGAACCTTCATCAGTTCTGCTCCTGTAATCAGACAGCTTCCTTGATGCTTTTTCGAATTCCCGTTTCAGTCGAAGCGCATTCAGAACTGAAGTAGGGCTGCAACGATTAGTCGACTAATCGATGACTAATCAACTATTAAAATAATCGGTGACTATTTTAGTAGTCGACTAATCGGTTTGAGTCATTTTTCATAGATAAGTACTATAAAAGTACCCAAAATACTCTTACTGCAGCTTATTAAGTTCAGATATTGACAGCTTTACACACTCTCCCATGACGGTGAACTAAAACCCTTTGGCATGAGTACAAAACAAGACATTAGATGACATAATTTTGGGGTTTGGGAGAGACAGACCGACATTTTTCAACATTTTAACACATTTTTCGATGAAATGATTAGTCGACTAATTGAAGAAATAATAGACAGATTAGTCAACAATGAAAATAATCGTTAGTGGCAGCCCTAAACTGAAGAAGCCTCTTGAATGAGAGGTGAAACTCAAGCACGTCCAGCTGCCTTCGATACAGCATTTAAGATGTTACGTGCACGTGGTTACGGTTTGTCTTTATACTCACATGTTGCTAATGCCGGCTGTGTGCGTGTTGTGATGTTTGTGTTTGTGTAGCTGTTTTGATGATAACTCTGACTCCCTCTGTGCTGTCTGCTCGTTGCGTTGGCGTGTGAATATAAAAAAATATGGTGGAGGGAGGCTCGTGCATTTTCCCCCGTCACTCAGGAAGACTCAAGGAAAAACGTTTGTAGCTCCAGAGATTAAAAGAAAATGCAGTCACATCCCAGCCACCCTCCTCCTCTGATTAATAACCAACAGTCCCTAATGTAAACTAATCTGAAGCAGTCACACTGTTCCAATCAAACACATCATTAACACTGAATATTCCTGTTTCCTCTGCATTTCTCATTTTAAAGGCGACACACTTTCTTTGTCCGCTGAGACAAACTATAAGCATCTGATGCATTAACTTGTTTGACACATTCAGCAACATCTTTTCCTCCATGATGCCGACTGTAAACATACTGTTGAACCCACACAGACCAAACCTGCACTCTCAATAAGCATCCTGCAACATCTGATCCATCATTAAAGTTTGTGATCAAAGCAAAAACAGTTTGCAGCGGGAGACGAACAAAAGAGAAAATCCTGTGTAGCAGTTTGTTTGGTGTTTAGATCGAAACGTGAGCTGGAAAGTTACTGAATCACATCAAACATGATACAAACAACTTAAAGAGAATATTAACCCACAAATATATCAACAAAACAAACACATATGAACATATAAATATTAATACAAAATATTGCTATTTGAGATTTAGACGTATCTGTTGAAAATACACAGTCATATACACTTCATGTTCAAATCACAGAAGGAAAACTGCAGGGAGATGAGATGACGGAGTGGCTGGATATTTCCTTGTTATTTCTAAAGGTGTGGAGTCTGTCTGAGAAACTGAGATGAAATACTTGGAATATAAAGTAACAGTGATGGTTGGCTGCACTTCCCCCTCTACATTCAAGCAGTCTTCCAAAAGAAAACACGAGAAAGCTCTTCGACAATGTTGCTATCAAACACCGTAACATGGGAGATCTGAACTCATATTAAAAAGGAAATTAAAATACATTTTCAAAAGTGCCGAATGTCACTTGCTACATTTAACTTTGGCTTCACCAACACGTCACAACCAAACCTTAATCACAATTCGGTGTGTGTTTCAGGGTTGGTGAATTATAAAACATAATACATTTTTCTAACAATACCTGTATGTCTATAAAACATCTTAGCCAACATGATTGTGCCAATTAAACTGACACACTAAAAGTCTCTGGTTGTCCATCTGTGTAGAGAGGAAGTCCATCAAACAGCGTTTCCCAAATCGCAGCTTGGAGCCCACAAGTGGCTCTCGCCTCGTTTCTCGACTGAAACAAGATAGCTTAAACCTGGATTGTGTCTGAATCATGGTCTCCTCTTGCTTTGCACCGTCTCCTCCAGAGATGAGCAGTCTAGGAATCACTGTCCTAAACATCGGCCCCGGCTTAAGGCTGCATTTCCACGAGGGCTCGGTGTATTTCCTGGAAGGAGGGCCGTTCCTTTGTGTTCCTCCTCCAGCAGCCCAGCATGATCTTGTAGAGCGAGTCTGGACACAGCACCGGCTGAGGCAGGTAGATCTGCAGCACAGAGCACAAGAGGTTAAGCCGAGAGATTCACTGGTTTTTATGTGAAATAAAATGTTTGTAAGGACACTCACCTGTCTTTTCTGGTCCCTGAAAAACTCCCCCGTGTTTTCTATCACCTGCTCATCAGTGAGCTGAGAGTAGGGCTGCTCCTTGCAGAAGTTTAGTATCTCCCACAGGGTCACCCCAAACGCCCACACATCACTAGCTGTGGTGAACTTACCCTGCGCAACAAGAGACAGTGTCAACAGTGATTGTTAATATCACATAACAATATAGCACAAAATCAAGTTTTTTTTAAAAACTTAAATAAAGCTACATCTTTTGTTAAAGGAATACTATGCAGGAAATGTCTTTTACTGTATCACCAGTGAAAGTGAAAGCCGACCCCAGACTGAGTCTTTGTTTTTCCAGCACTGAGTCAAAAATGTTCACAGCTTCCTCTTAGACGTGTCCTGCCTACAGTCTGCCACCTGGTCACTACCTCTTTATAAAGAGGCTAGCAAAACAAGTCTGATCTCCTACAGTCCCTGCTAAAACTAGAAAACCCTATTTCTATAATTATTTCAAACTGCTAGCTGCAGCTGCTTCATTTAACAAATAAAGTCTAAATATTGCTGCTCTTTCAATGACTCTATTACATATTGTATTTTAACACAGCTCTTATTGCTGTTGTGATCTGACGCTGTTGTCCTGTTTGTGTGTATGCTGCTGACCCTGTCTTGGCTCGGTCTCACTTTCAGATGAGGTTTTAATCTCATTCTCAATAAGCACCATGAGAGGAAAGTAAGACATTAGTGGCAAAGGACAGACTCTGCAGAAAAATACACCTGCACACACCTCTAGTGGGATGTCAGTGATTATAGAGAGGGACACAGGTGAAGTTGGGGACATGTTCCCACCACTTTCTGAAATGGCTGATTTTGTCCCCGTCACTTTTTAGAAGTGATTTGTTAAAAATGTTGTGAAACTAGTTTGCACCGAGAAATTATGTTAAATAATAAATGAGAACCCTTTGCAACATACAACGCAACGCAAATGTAAAATAATCAAATGTGCGTAGTGTAAGCTTTAGAGAAAATCCATCCTCGCCAACTGATTCTAATATGACACAAAAACATCATCACCAATCAGTCACATGTACAAAAGCCTTGACACAAATCTTCTCGTCCAAGTTTCCATTCTTTCTCTATGAACATGACGACACATGAGAGGGTTTACAAGTTAATTAAACTGAAATGATCTGAACATTTAAAGAGGTTACTCCCCAAACAAAAGAGGATAGAAGACTAAATTATGCCCACAAGTGTTGACTCAGCACAGATAAATGAAATGAGGATCTGCAGTAGATTAAATATCTGAAAGTAATACAGAGTGCCTGAGAGCCTTACCACATTATATTCATCAGTATTTGTAGACTTGAATCGTCACCTGGTTCCTAAGTTTTTCTTTACTTAACAAAAGTTATTTCCACCATAAAGTGGTGCATCAAACTTCACCAGGATGCAGGAAATTAAGTGTGTGAATCTCCAATCTCTGCCCGTCTGTGCACCATTTTGTGTTTTTTCTGCAACCTCATACCAACCCCCCCATTACATTGTCTGAAATCACAAATGTTGAAGACCATTTAAACATTTTTTTTTTATCTAAGCCCTCATGTCTCCAACACTTCTCAACGCTTCTCAACAGCCCGTGGAGAAGGACGACTCTTGTCTGAGTCCATACATTGTTTCATTCTGTTCTCCTGCAGAGTATAGCGTCAAGTATTGGTCCTTACCAGCAGGATGCTCTCCCATGACATCCAGCGTATCGGCAGTACCGCTCGGCCCTGGATGCGGTAGTAGTCACCACTGTACAGGTTTCTGCTCATGCCAAAGTCAGCTATCTTTATCGTGTAGTTTTTGCCCACCAGGCAATTCCGCGTGGCCAAGTCTCGATGAACAAAGTTTAGAGAGGAGAGGTACTTCATCCCCGACGCTATCTGAGCCGCCATGTAGATCAGATTATTGAAGCTGGAGAGCAAATAAACAGAGTCATGTGACGGGAACAGAACAACAGAATGACACACACAAATAGGCATATATATATATATATATGTGTGTGTGTTCATCACCACTCACCTGACAGTAGGTGCGTTGCTGAGCAGAGCGAGTTGTCCCTCAGGCTCGTGGCGGGACAGAAACTGGTTGAGATCTCCGTTCTCCATGTACTCTGTGATCATACAGAGCGGGTCGCTGTAGATGCACACAGCCAGCAGGCGAATGATGTTGGGGTCCTTCAAACGTGACATGATCTTTATCTCTTTCAGGAAGTCGTTCCTGCCAAAACACGAAAAAAGGCGGGTGACTTAGTTCACACAGAGGAATCAGAATGATATAAACCTGACATTTTCATATCAACATTTATTTTCAGTTTCAGGTACAGGCTAAGAATGAGGTGTGTGGTGCAGATCACTCGAGCGTCTACCTTGCATTTTTGTTGGCGTCTGAACGAAGCATCTTCACAGCCACTAAAACTGGCTGGTCCTCGGAGATGTCGAATAGAAACTCTTTATTCATGAACTCCTGCATTCCCTCTGCTTCACACAGGTGCACCTGAGAGGAGGAAGATGAGGAAAGCAACACTTATAACATTTATTTGTTTGTGCTTCAAAGGTCTAGTGCGTAGGGTTTAGTGGCATCTAGCAGTGAGGACGAGGACATGTGCCACGTGTGAACTCCTGGTTACAATTCCTTCAGTGTTCATTGTTCAGGAAGTTTTTAGTGCGAGCTAAATTATCACCAGAGGTCTCTTCCTCTCCAAAACAAACAGACCAAGTGATTTAAACCAGTAAAATTTTGAATAAAACATTTTCATGTTACAAATCAGTGTTCTTCTGACGCTGTTCAGCTCATTGCGGGGGCCTATATAGAGCCAGTGTTTGGTTTGTCCGTTCTGGGCTACTGTAGACACATGCCGGTGCAACTGTTTATCGTCACGTTTCCAGCTGAACGATGCACCCTTCATTAAGGTGTAGGCTATAAATACAGCTGGAAGCTCTGGGACAAACTTCCCTCTCTGTGGTGGATGAAATAAAGTGTCCTAATTTTTCTTTACCATGGAGAAAAATAAAACGTACTCCCATTTTATGTGCTTCATACGCATTTAAATCACTTATATTGGACTTGTCATCCATGTGCTACTATTTACCTGGATTTTTCTATGTTAAACTTTTGTCACTAAAATAAATCAATCAATAAATAAACAGGACTAATACATAAATAATGAGGCTAAGTAAATAAATATATCAACAAATAAATAAATAAATATCACACATGAAGCTTATTTGGTGTCATTTCTCTTTTTCTTTTGGAAACATCTTCATGTTTTTTCACTCTGATGTTTATGAGCTACTCAGTTCCTGCAACTCTTTGCAGTAAAATAAACACGACAACCATTTTTCTATAGAGAAGGATATATTTGACCTTAAATACAATCGAAGCATTTCGGTTGTTAACGTCTGTAAGACAATATTTAATGTCAATCGTGTGTCGCGTGGAACTTCGAAATGTCTTCCATGACGAACACAAACATGGAGGGAGAGGGTGCACGGGGTGGTTTGGGAACAGATTCGCTCCCTGTGTAGATATAAATATCTCATTCTTACAAAACAAAAACATGATGATTCTTGTTTTCAGGTGATTGTACACAAAAGAAAATATAATTATAATATTCAGTTTCTGCCAATATGCCCCCTAACTCCTGCACACTGGACCTTCAGGATCATGTGAAAGTGTAAGAAAAGCTGCAGACGAATGGCAACGAGCACACACCTCTCCAAACTGTCCCTCTCCCAGCTTCTCTTTGAACGTGAGCAGCTTTCGTGGGAACTCCTCCACTGCCACATCCTTCCCCGACAGCAGGTCCATGGTCAGTGCAGGGATGGCGTACGTGTTGCCTCCGGTCACGCCTTGCAGGTTTACAATGTCTGCCTCTGCGTAGTGTGGAGCGCCATCCTGGACTGCGGTAGTGGTGGTGGATTTGGAGGCTGCGGTGCTCGTAGAAGCTGGAACACAATATGGAAACATGTCACTTTGAACATGAATAACCACGGATGTTTATTTGTATGCAGATGTGTGTGTTCACCTACCAGGCTCCTCTGAGCTCTGAGCGAACTCCGGCAGCTTGCATATGATGCGCGACGGCTCCTGATAGTCTGGGCCGAGGGGAAAGATGCGCTCGTAGGTGGAATTAGACTCCTGCTCGCTGGCTGTGCTCGACTGGTTGTGGTTGTAGGCGAACGTCTCGCTCTGTATTGACAAACTAGCAGTTAGTTCATCGTCCAGCATCCGGCGAGAGGCCTAAAATAAAGGACGCGGGGGTGAAGGAACAGATCTGACCAACTCCCGAAAGAAGGAAACTCTCAATGTCAACAGCAGAGGTGAGCTCACCTTCTCCAACATCTTCTGCCACACCTGCCTCCACAAGATGATGACGATGATGACCACCAGGATGAAGATGATGGCCACCAAACAGCCAATCAGAATCCGGGTGTTGCTGTCATCGACTTTGTGGGTGGGGTCGTCCTCTGGAGAGGGAACAGGGAGACACACCTTTTTAACACGGAGACAGCACCATACTGTATTTAAGTATTTGCTGATCCAGTAACTGAACTTAGTGATCGCTTTGATTTCATAATAATAATAATAATAACAATAAACTGTATTCATCCAGCACCTTTTAAAACACAGTTACAAAGTGCTTTACAAAACTGAATAAAAGACAAAGCAAATAAGATGAAGGCGATAAAAACAGAAAACACAAAACAGAGTGAAACACACAATAATACAGCAGTTCAAATAACCGAGAGGCAGTTTTAAATAAGTAGAATTTCTGAAGTGATTTAAAAGATGACACTGAGTTTGCAGCCCTGATCTCCTCCAGCAGGTCATCCCAAAGTCAAGAACTCTGACTGCAAAGACTTTATCACCTCTGTGAATGAATCTAGACCTCTGAACAACAAGACGCGATGCATCTGAGGATTTCAGGGTGCCAGAGGGAACATAGAGTGATACAAGATCTGTCATATAACTTGGAGCGAGGCCTCTCAGGGCTTTGTAAGTAAGTATGTTTGTTGGAAAGGACTGATCTTATGCTGGAGATATTTCCGAGAAGGTGGAGGCTTGATTGAACTACCGAACTTACATGTTTGTCTAAACTGATCAAAAATGACACCAAAGTTTCTGCAGTGTGAAATTATTGAGCCACTGTCTGATATTTGAACCTGTTCTTGTCGTGTGATCAATATCTCTGTCTTGTCAGCATTAAGCTGCAGGAAATTTTGTCACATCCACTTGTGAATGTCACAAAGGCAATGTAGCAGGTTAACCATGTTTTGACATGGAAACAATAATAATAGTTAACATTTAAAGGATTTTTGTAAATGTGCTGCAAAAGCAGAATAATCCAGTCACTACTTGTGTAACTAGCGAAGTTAAAAATAGCCTCATTCCATTGAGGCGTCCCAAATTACAGAACCTGACACACCTGAATGGAAAAGAGCCAAGTCATTAATGTTATTAGTTCTACCTGTGCTTTTCCTGCTGTGACAAGCTGAGAGAAACCTCCTTTAAAGCGATTATCAGGAGCGTGGGACTGTTAGAGTAAATCAACCTCTTTATCTTTTTCTTTCACTCTCTTGTTTCTTGAAGCAGCAGAGACAGCAATGCAACTTCAGCCTCTCACATGACATCACAGGTATAACCGTGAGCACACAGACCAGACTTAATAAAGAAAAGCCAAACATCACTTCCACCCTCTCAGACCAATGTTGAAGGCCAAGTGGAAAGTGTGAAGAGCTGTTTCCCGCGTAGGTTCAGTGTTTTGAATGTTGACAGGAACGTGACAGTGTTATTTTACAGATCCTGACCGTCTCACTGATTTCTTGATTTTGTGATCTAAATGTGAAAAACAGGAGGCCAAGCAATCCTCTCTTTACAGCCTAACTAAAACCCAGAGTTTTGGCTGGAAATGTAATAAATGGTTTCAACCAGTAGAGGGCAGTCACCACGCATATTTAGAACAGGGTGTCCACAGGTTAAGACTTCAATTTAAGACTTTTTAATACCACTTTAAATGAAATTTAGACCAAACTTGTGATGGAAATACACATCAAAATTCAAAATGTACTCCTTCCAAGTACACACACTGCATGAATGAACAGTAAAAATGAGCCTGACGATACTCTCTGTGCTTAACGCTTTGCACCTGCGATTCCACCGCCCTGATCCCCATTTTACCACGTTTGAAACACCTTCGACACACAGCTCAGATTGCTTTGCAAACATTTCAAAGCACTGGCTTTAGTCACCACAGGTTTTTCCATAGCTTGCAAGGTCCTAGTTTAACAATGCAGACTCACTGCGTGATCTAAGGGCATCGAGGGGGCAAAAATAGTGGCATTGCGCACACACAGGTCGAAGTCTGGTACCCCGTCAAATAGTGTTTCCCTCCTGTTAAAATGATGTTTCCTAAAGATGCAATAACAAAAATTACATCGGTGATGTGACTAAAATACATTTAAAACCCATTTAATCTCAATTTGAGACAATACTTTTTAAGGTCTTTTATTTGTAAAGGTATTTTAAGACTCTTTAAGGACCCGTGGTCACCCTGTATAACACAATATGTAGAATCCAAAGACTTTGTCTAGGTTTGAACCTGGATCCACCAACAACACTAGATACACTTATACATTGTTCTTCAGCTGTAAAAAGGTGGTTTGAGGGTTTAGTTACACTTCAAGGAATTAAGGAATTTGTGTATGTTCCATGTACTCTTAGTTTAGCCCTCTACCTCATCCCTAATCTTAACATTTTATTGTGGTAATGTAGATGTATATTCCAGCACTTTTAAGGTCTGAAATTGGCACATTCTCTTACTGTGTTTTTTTGTTTTTATGCTGTCTTCCTGCAGAAAGAATTTCATCTTGTGGGACAGAAAAAGACCCGAACTGAAATGTTCTCTTACTGCTGATACGCTGACGGCATTTTTATGATGACATCACATCCATTTTTATTCAAGTCTGCGAGGTAACTTTGTCAAATGCTCAGAAAAGGTTCTTGACAACAAAAGTTGACATATTGTTATTTGTTATTCGTCATTCATGTCCAGCCTGGTCTCGCTCCCAGGGTGTCAAAATACGCCACTTGGGGAATTTCTAGACAGCGTCATTATTGTGACGTGAGGCGTGTGTGTGTGTGAGACCCTCCAGGCTTTCCACTATCCAGTATAAACCCATTGCTTTATATTACACGCCCAGAGCATCGGACGTAGTTTAAAGAGTGTGAAAGTCGACTGAGGGTAGGCGGGAGAGGAGGTGGATGGGTCCGACAAACACAGGACTTGGACCCAGGAGACCGATGGTTGGGACCATCAAACAACATGAGTTGCAGCATTTGTGCCACTCAAAGCTGACATCCACAATATTTTCCTAAATAAAATTAAGTAGTATTGTTGCCTAAATTGAACCACTGACCCCTTCTGCATCAGGATACAATGCAAAGTGCTGCTCCAGGCGTCATTTTCTTTTCATGTTTTTTTGGCCCACTTGCCCAGCGTTTTTCAGGGACAATGTTCACAACGAACAGCGACCAGTAAGTCGGTCGGTAAGTAAGTAAGTATGAAGTGGAAATAAGAGGTGTAAGACTTCACAGGAGTTACCATGGTTACGCATTCGCAGCTTGCGAGGAGACTCTCAGGAAGTGGTGAGGCAATAGAGCTCAGTGCAAATGGCTTCTCCAGGCATCATTTTAGGAACACTGGGACCTCCGCCCAAGCAGCAAAACACGACAAGTAGGGATGAGGTCACATCGGCATGCCACAGTATCATTATTATTATTATTATTATTATTATTAAATGTGCAGGTCTTAATCAAGTGTGTGGAGCGCTGGTGGACTCAAAAAAAAAAAAAAACCTTCTCGGACGCTTCTACGGCAGATTAAACATGATGCAGTGCCTCATAGGTCGTTATACGTGCTAGAATTTACTGTGTGCTGGAGCCATCTTTGATTTTTTTCACCTGCCCATCAGACAGCTGCCAGTCCGCCACTGGTGTGGAGTGATCACTAACCTGGTTGTATGTTGGGTGGTATTCCTGTCTTGGGTGGAGCCAGTGTTGTGTTGTACATGGCTGTATCTGAAAGGTCAGACGGCACAGAGCTGGTCAGAAATTTAAGAGACTTTAATAGTTACTTTCTATTCCAAAGTCATACACCACTTTTATACAGAACTTCCAAATACGTGCAGAAGTATATGAATCTTAAAGTGTTAAAACTAGACAGATATACCACACACACAGTTCTTCGGTCTGTACCTGACTGGAAGGTGATCTCGCTGAACAACATCCAGGCATCAGCAAAGTAGAACTGGCACTTGATGGCACTGGCCATGTGATTGGCCAGGTTGACGGTGACGAAACGGGCGCTGGGATTCTTCTCGTCCTCCACGGGGCTGAAGGTGAGCGGCGTGGCCTCCCAGTCTGCCTCAGAGCGGAAGTAACACACCACCTGGCGGAAGGCCTTGACACGCCGTGAGTACATGTTGTTGCAGTGGACCTAGACACACACACAGACACATCGGGAGACTTTTAAAGCTCATGAGAGACGTAAAAAACACGACACTATGAGCTGTAATTATCAGGAGCCTCACCTTCATGGTGGTGAAGTTACGTATGCGGTCAAACTCAAACATGATTTCAACGTATCCACTGGGGAAGCTCTCGTTAGTCCAGCCCACATAATCGTACCCAGGCCACACATTATAGACGTGACTGTGTGTAAAATCATCCAGGCCACACACTCCATCCGTCAGCTGGCCCAAACCCTCCGTCATACTGAGAAACAAAGAAGAGGAACATTCTTTAAATTCAAAGTAAGCACTTCTGTTAAAAGCAGTTTTTACAGTGCAGCTAATCAACACTAGGTGGCAGCATTGTAAAACCAATTCTGTCTCCTGCTGTTGGCTGTGACATCGTAATAAAGGCCATTTTCTTTTCCCCCTGCACTGTCGCCTCCACTGTCTGTGTCATGGAGGACATTATTCACCATCCAAACACGACTGTCAACAACAGACTGATTGGTTCATTCCGGGTTCTAAACTTTGTAAGCACGGTTGACTCAGTCATTCCCATGAGGTATTGCCTAACTAAGTAAACCACCATGACCCACTCACCACCGCCTGTCTCTTTGCTCTCACCATGGTGACGGGGCAACAACAAGGTGAGGGGGAAAAAGCACAGATGAAGGATAAGAGCGATGATGAAGCATTGTAGTGGTGTGTGGAAAAAGAGAGGAGGGGGGAATTAAGGACAAACAGAAACACACACACATACATACACACACACACACACACCTGTGGATGACAGCTCCGTCGTAGACAGAGTCGTTGAGATACGCAGGGTAAGAAGGCAAGTTCATCTGTTCTCCTGCTGGAGCGTTGTACGACACGAGACCATCTGTGAAGCAAAGGCAGTTGTTCATTCATACATATATACAATAATAACTCAATAACTCAAAACATTTTCTGTGAGTCCATCGTGCCAGGCTCATGCTGTGCAGAGCGGCATGGCTCAAAACCACAGGAGTCTGTTTCAAAATTGTAGTTGATATTTTTAAGATGCCTACAGCGACCCAACATGCCAAGTTGAATTACAGAGAAATATTTACTAAATAATGTACCAGTCATGGGTGGAATTTTCCATCATATGAAATACAAAAAAAGAAATGTGATATTAGATTTCTTAAATGAAGCGCTGGAACAAGTCTGAGCACAATATACAGTATATGTGATGTTATGAAGAAATGTTATTTGATATAAATGTTATTGATGTCCTTATTAACAGCAAGAAAGCACAAGAAATCTACAATATGAATGAAACTGCACTGTAACGCTTTAAAACCTGAGCAAAGTTTCTTTTAAAAACATGGGAAGAATGCGATGAGCAACATGAGAGGAAGACATGATCAAAAAAAAATTGCAATAAATTTGTAAAGAGAAAATTAAAAACAAAGAAATTAGTTGGAAAAAAAAGAAAGCAAAAATCAAACAAGGAAATGACCTTAAAAGACTGCTTAAAAATTATAATAATTCTGTAACATAATTTTTATAATCAAATAAATAAATAATATATAATAAATATTAAATAATATTCAATAAATTTTAAAATAATTTTCTGAATCTTGTTTTTTTTTGCAATTTGTGGGACATTTCTTCAATCAAATCACACCAACTTGCCGTCAGGATTCAAATGTTTAAATATTTGCAAAAGGTGCCTGAGAGTAAAAAAAGTGATGTTGCTCTAGGTTTCAAAGGGTTAAGTGGCACCAGTGGTGCTATGACGCTCTTAAAACTGCCATTGTTTGCTTGTTTTTATTTTGTCTCTTTTTCCTCTTCTGCTGCTTAGATTAGATCACAAATTTCACCAGATTTCCAAACTCAACATTTGACATTTCAGCACGTCATGCATTTTCAAGGGAAACGTGAAGAAATATTGTACATTTATTAGGCTAAACAATTTTGTTAACAGGACCTGTGAAACCTACCTGACAAACCCTCGAAATATATTGAACTTTTCAAAAACCTTCTCTTTGTGCTCAAATAGTCTAAATCAGCGTTAAATTTAAAAGGGAACTATACGCCCATTTTCAGAATTCATACATGTTACTCCTATGGTCTAACACATATTAGCAAACTTGAATAATTCTCTCCCAAATCCAAAAACTAGAGTGCTAAAACTCAAAGTCTGTTATCACCTTCATATCCCTCGTCTCTAAAGTTTTTGGTTAGATGCCTTAAATAAGGTCTGTGTTTAACACAAGCTTAAAAGACTTTCACGTTTTGCTCTACAACATAAAAAGCGTCAGTAAATACCCCACTCGAGAACTTTGCTGCTTCTATTGTCTTAAAAAAGGTGGTTGCTAACAACTGGCTAAATGAGAGTGTCATCACGCCTAATATGGCTTTGCAGCCTTGTTGCGGTGGTGACGTTGAGATCATGGGACTGAAGTGTAGCTGGTTTAAAGCTTAATGTTAGCTTTTCACTTCTGGTGATTGCATTTACGCTTCAAAAATCATAAAAGTGGTGTTAATTTGTGAAGATCAACAAGATAATTGAAGATTATCTTGCTGATCAAAACATTTAAGTATTATGTTTTTCTTAAAAACAGATTATTTTCTGCAATTATCCAAAATCCAGTGGAAAAATCCCATTGGCTTTTTGTCAAGGGAACCAGAACAACAATAACTTCCGGGTTGGCCTCCAAATAAACGTCCTCCTCACAGGACTCTAAAGAATAAAGCTCAGTTGGGTATAGAAAAAGAAAACAAACATTTTGTGGGTCCATATAATCGGTCTCTAATTTGAGAGTTTGAGACTTCTCTGTTTTCTAAGAGAGAATAGCTCGTGTTCAAACATATCAAGCTTTTGTAGGCGTGGAAATAACACCGTGGAGTTCTTAAGGAGGTCTACTTGATGCATGGCATGTACAAGATCATTTAAGATAAGTATGTGTGCACAAAATGCACATGATTTGGATCAGAGGAATGTTGTAAAATTTGAGGTCAAAGTGAAAATATAAAAGGAAAGTACAGCTCCCTGGATGGAAGCAGCAATTAACACTCACCAAATGCACACATTAGTTATTAAATATTTAGCCACTGATATGATTTATTGTAGTGTACATCATTGTAAACAGCTGTGTCCTGCTTGTATAAAAAGGTGAATCAGCTGATCCTCTCTATCTTTATGAGCTCAAAGATAAGGTGGTGCCTCAGCTCAGCTCATCTTTGCTCTTGTCAGCCCTCACATATCATATCTTGTCTTTTTTTTCCTTTTCCACCTCAGCCACCCGTCTTACCGAGCCATTCACAGCCGTAGAGCTCCACTCTCATGCAGACGTTCATGGAGTGGTCTGTGACGGGCATGAAGCGGACGAAGCGAGCGATGATGGGCGGCTCGAGGTCCTTCAGTACAATGTCATAGGCGTTCCTGTTTCCTTCAATCACCTGCAGGTAATAGTAATAATAATAATAATAAAAAGAAGAAGAAGAATCAATTCATTCGGCATAGTGCATTTTAGACCAAAAACAAAAGTCACAAGATAAAGAGTCAAAGAAAGGACCATAAACCTAGAAAAAAATACAGGCAACTGAGGAGCCTAAAAGAAACACATCAAGAACGGGCACTAGACATCTCAGGGTGGGACAAAGGCCATTTTGAAAAGACAAGTCTTCAGTTGATCATAAAAGGTTTCGAAGGAGACAGCAGACAGTATATCTAATGGAAAAGAGTCCCTGAGCGTTCCAGTATTTCTCAGTACAGGTTAGTGATTTAATATGATGATCAAAATGCAAAGTCTGATCAAAAATAATGACAAGATGTCTTAAACTTAACCGTTTGGCTGAGGAAAGGGACCTAATACTGTGGACTATACTATCTTAAACAATTATCAGAACCTTCTTCTTATCTGTGTCAATCTGTACGAAGTTGTTAGACATCCAGTTCTTAAAGGCAATCAAACTGTTGTGCAAAATTGCTAATGACGTGCCCTAGTGGAAGCATATATATGGCAAATAGCATAGGACCCAAGATGGAACCCTGAGGTACACCACAGGAAAGAGCTGCAGTATCAGACCAGGAGAGACCAAGCAACACACATTTACATCACATTAGAGAAAATCGATTTATTGTGTTAGTCCAACTAAAACCAGACCCGTAAAACACATGTAAACATGTTAGTCCGACTGAAATCGTACTAAATCGAATTTCTCAAAGTCAGACTAATGCACCCAGATAATACGATTGGGAGTCAAATTCCTCCTGCATGTATACAGTCAATCAGACCCAAACTGGCCGAGGCGCTCTGAGCATGCTCCACAGTTTCCGCCCCGGGCTTTGACCCGGAAGTCCAATGGCATTAAATGTGTAAGAGAAGAAGAAGACAGTAACAACATGGAGAAATCTACATCCAGAGCCGTGACTTTTTGGACGGACCAAATGTACAGAGCTGTAAAGTTGTCCACCATGGTAGCAGTTAGCTGCTAGCTAACCGTAGCTAACGTGTTTGTCCATTGTTTGGTCTGTGACGTAATAGGTCAACAGGAAAAAGGTCCAATACTAACAAGCTGAAAGGGGGCATATCTCCACCTATCGTAGAGGAGTCGCACATACTTGGCTCAATAAATGGATTCCCCTCCCGTGCTTGTATACTGGGACAAGGACAGCAGTCCAATTAAATGGCCCAGTTAAGCTGTAACTGTGATTAAGTAAACTGTGCATGTAAATGTACTGAGGATATGAGAGGACAACCAGTTCAGGGCACTCCCAGAGACAAACAAACCTTGACCTCATGAAGAAGCTCAATAATGACTTCCCTCTATCATTTATAGATAACAAAGAATTAATGAATCAGTCCTATACTATCTCTATTACAACCATAAACACAGTCATAGCACATATTAACAATGACAGGCTGTAAAAGCATGAACTGAAGACAGGTGATGAGTATCAGTACACGAGGCATCTTTATCAGAGGTTTGTTATAAACTAAAGATTATACAGTGACATCCAAGCCAAGAAAACCTGGGTTACACCACAGACAGTGTAAAGTGCTGTCTGATAGGTCGACGTACCTGCTTGCCCTGCCTGTTTCTCCACGAGATCCAGCGGCTTCCATCGCGACTGTACTTAATCTTGTACATCTGGGCGAACTCATTACCGATGCCTCCCGCGTGGCGACCCTGGGTGCCTACAAGGGTGATGAAGTGGAGCGAGCGCAGGTCAATCTGGAGAAACTCCTTCAGGCTGTCTGGCTCCACTGTTATCTCTGGACACCACGCGCCATCGCCCTCCTCAAAGTCCAGCCTGGGAGAGACACACAGCGAGAGGAAAGGAGGTTGAGGGAGAGGATGAAATAACGTCGGTAGATGTTCATATTAGAATTACAGCAGGAAAGAGGAAGAGAGAGAGGGGGAAGAAAAACTAGGACAGGATGGAGAGGAAAAGGTGAGAGGAAAGTTAAAGTGAGTGCGGTGGTGGATTTCAGTTCTTAGAGCATGTTGTAAAAACATCTCGGTGGAAGCCTGCGTCGTAAATTCATCTTAAAGTGTTAATTTTGGGCGAGGGGCTGGCAGCAGCGAGGGGGAGCAAGGCGAGACTGAAAACACAGCCGAGGATGGATGGGAAAGTGTATTACATCATTATCCTGATGCTTACTGAAGGCCACCCAAGTGTTTCTGCACACACATTCACACAAAAGCCTCCTTAATCATGTGGCTGTAAGCAGAACTGATACCCCAGTTTGTGGCTTACTGCAAATAAACAGGCACCTTGCAGGATAACCCGCCCACACACACACACTCATTATCAGGGTAAACATACTATGAAGCATGTGTGTGAGTGTGTGTCTGTGAATGAAAGACCTACCTGCCATATCTAGCAGCGGTGGATTCGGACCACTGGCTGGAGGCAGAGATGTCCTCGTCCTGTATCTGCCCTCCTGACATGCCCAGAGGATACCGACACACACCTGAGACACAACAACATGTCGGATTAAAACACCAGAAGAAATGCACAGCTGAGCGGATGAATATGGAAGCTGTGATGAAGGGCAACACATGAACACATCACTCAGAGAAAAACAAAACGAATCTGGATGAGAATGATCCAGATGTGTTGCTCTCCAGGATCAGATCATCCATTTTACTTCTGCTCTAGTTTTTCAAAGACACACTGGATTGAATCAGCCTGATCCACATACAAACTTTTTAAGATCACCAAATCTGGATAACTAGTGTTTTAATGGAACGACACATCACAATGTAGGCAGTCTGCCAACAAACACACCTATCATTGTAGGTAACTTTAAATATTTTTTTGTTTGATATTGACAGCTATGTGGGGGATTATTTTATGTTTTGTTTTTTTTTAATTTTCAAATTAACATATACAGAGTACTAATAAAGGAAACACAGAACCAATAAGGATGAAAAAACAACCCCACCCACCCATCAACACAAGAACAAAGAAAGCCAGGCCCGACAAAGGGAATCCAAAAGGGAGGAAAAAGAGACAAAAAACTGAAAATGATGACATGAATTCACTTGTGTGACATAAGTAGGGCAGTATAGCATGTTTCATTACAATTTTTCAGCTTCCATATTTGGCACAAAAGATAAAAATGGTTGCCAAAGTGTAAAAAATAATAATACATAACATCCTTAATCCAGTGTCCACATGTTGGAGGTGAAGAGTCCTTCCATTTACACAGGATGAGCCTTCTCAGCCACGTCCACTTGAGCTCTATATGTATGTATATATATATATATATTTGACCAATTATAAAGTTTTATTACATTTTGCTCTTAAAATCCATCCTGAATCCACCCCTCTGCCTGGCTCAGGATAATCCAGATTTTTTGGATCATCTTCCAATCCTTTAAAATGTTTTGAACTACACATACTGAAAGTTTGATCCAAATCAAAACCAAGACTGGATCACATGGTCTAATCCGATTCTAATCCTTTCTTTCTTTTGAACAACTCATTTTCAAGATTTCATCTAATCCTAGAGATTACCTCTGAACAGCTGGACCCTGATGTTTCTTTGGCCACCCTCATCCTGCATTTTACCAAGAGAGGGAAGTCACTAATTACATGAGCTGTTGCAAATGAGTAGCTTTTTTGTTTAGCAGTGTTTTTTTCGGTCCAATCTGAAGCAGTAATTCTATTCTAATTTACTGTTAGTCCATTTTTGATTGTAGTTTTGGACTAGATAGACCATGGCACATTCAGGAAGATATAATATTTATTTTTTTCCATCTTTTTCTTAGTAAGCAACTTGTGAGAATGATTTCACATAAAGGAAAGATGGTTATCAGTTTGGTAGACGTCAGGTTCTGTAAATGTCCTCTAGTTATTATTGTGCCCAAATTTCACTGCCTGCGCTACATCTGGATATTTTACTCTATTTCATTTTTCTCTTTTTTTATATAATGCTTGAAATAATGTTCAGAAGTTGGCTGTAATATGGGCCTGTTGCAGAAAGTATTATTATTTTTGATAAGTTGTTTTGTTAGTTATACAAGGGCACTCAGACAGCATCAAACAACGTCAAAATACGTCCACTAAAAGTGCATTTTTTTCACACAGATAGGCTCGGATTGTTAGTATAATTATCCGAAAACATAACGGAAAGGAGAAATGAACGTCTGTGTTTACCTTTAGCTGGATTCAGACATGTTCCTCTGCCTGTTGCTGCTCCCTCTCTCTCCTCGTCCGACTCTGAGTCCGTGTACTCCGTGTTCAAATAAATACAGGCGGTCGTCAAATTCAAATGGCTCATCCACATCCAGTTGGTCAAAATTGGGTAAAAATTCGGACAGTTTTGTTGTGGCAAGTCAAAACAATCACTCAGAGTGAAAGTCTGGCTCTGAAATCTCACGTCTTGCGAGATTTGAGTTGTTGCAGGAAGTTACCGCTAGAGTGACCTTACAAACGCAAGGAGTTACTCTGTTTGGAGTAGTCATGGCTGAATTTTTACTCGATTTTGACCAACTGGATCTGGATGAGCCATTTGAATTTGATGAGCGCCAAATTTATTTGAACACGGAGTACACGGACACAGAGCTCATTGAAATTGAAGAGCGGACGAGGAGAGAGAGGGAGCAGCAACAGGCAGAGGAACATGTCCAAATCCAGCTAAAGGTAAACACACACATTCATTTCTCCTTTCCGTTATGTTTTCGGATAATTATACTAACAATCCGAGCCTATCTGTGTGAAAAAAATGCACTTTTAGTGGACGTATTTTGACGTTGTTTGACGCTGTCTGAGTGCCCTATTATTTAATATAGCACGCGCTCACGGGCTGCAGGCAGGTCAGCCCTAGCTTCATACTGGAGAAATGTCACATATTGAACATCCTATCACTCATTTAGACAAAAGAAGATCTGAAAATAGGGCCCAGGTTGAAAAAACATTAGTTCCCCTTTAAGTGTTGCATGACTTGCATGGGGGATCTTTCTTTACATTTACTGAAGTAAGTAAAGTAAGTAAAGTTCTCTTACTTCTACTTACTCATGTCTGTAACAATGCCTCTGTTTAAACAGGATATTCTTTCCACCCCTGGTATTTAAAGCTACCTGGATTATCACCCTCTGAAACACGCAGCTCCCCTCACTCCTCTCAGACCAACCACAGGGCTGGTCGGCGTTGAACATTTGAAACCGTACTCAAACATTCACCAGACGCTCACAGACATTTCTAAGACAGAACTACTTAATCCCCAGCTTCTGTCAAGAAACCTGCAAAAAGTGATGGATAGTGCTGGATGTCGGGGTGGGGTGTGGTAATGTGAGAGGACTGAACACACACATACACACACCCACACAACTACACACTCCTTGCACTCAAATTGTGGTTGCTTTATTGAAATAATAAGCTGGATCCATTTAGTGTCTCTGCCAGTCCAAACAGTGCTGGTATCAAGCACATGTACAGGAGTTGGTTACTGTGTGTGTGTGTGTGTGTGTGTGTGTGTGTGTGTGTGGTAAAGCTGGCAGGTCTCAGCCCATCACGCCCCCACTGTGTGGTCAATAGAAGCAATATGCCCTCTGTTTCCTGTTTTCCCGTCCACCCCCTCATGTCTCCTCTCTGTCCTCCTGTGTGGTCTCTCCCCTCTCTCTCTTTTCTTCTGTCCCCCCTTCAGTGGCGAGAGGTGATAAAAGTTAACAGCATGATTTAGAAAGTCTTCATCTCATTAAGGCCCAGCTGGCTAGCGGCTAACTGAGCATGACACAGCCAACATGGTATCTATTAACTTTTACGAGGCTCTGAGTGAATCTACTGATTTCTGGGTGTTTCCAGGAGCAAAAATGAAAGGGCACTTTACCGTCGCACATTATCTACAGGGTTGGGCTGATGTTGTGTTTTTGGCCGAACACTGATAACTTCACCTAACAGGATATGACCGCAAGTTAGCCTCATTTATGGATGAAAGAGCCTTTGGAAAAACTTGATTCCTGTGCACGTGATAGCGTGGGGCTTTGAGTGGAGCTGGAGTCGGAAGTTAAAGGGAGACTGACCCCGTTCGCCTGGCCCCTTGTCTCACAGAAAAACCTTTGAGAAGATGCCAGCAACAGCAGAGCTCGAGGTTCAAGGCCTTCTCTGTCCCCCTCTCGCTCTTTCTTTCCTCCTTCTTCTCTCTTCCTCTTTTCTTGATCTCCTCCAAATATTTGCTTAAAAGTCAAGATGTGAAAATCCCCCGAAGGTTTGGGACCGATGACCTGATATGCCGCTCACATGTCTGTGCACACAAAACCAGGCGTAGATGCAACCACACGCACGCACGCAGGTTTTTCTACTTGGCAGTGACACAGTGACAGCTTGAAGGAGGCACAAACAAAAACTCTTCCAGATGTCCGCACTCGCCTCCTCTGTCCTTTCATCTTGTCCTCTCTAACCTTTGTTCCACGCTGCCCCCTTCACTGCAGCCCTCGTCACTTATCCCCAAATGTTTACACCCCTCCACTCCTGTTTCCCTCCTCGCACTGGATCGCCTCAGCTGTAAGCAGACCACATCAACAGAAAAAACTCTTCTCATATTCTCGGCATATTAGCGGTATCCTTGGCTGCATCATTACGAAACCATTTTAATGATAGGTGCGGCGCTCAGACTGCACGTATGATAGCTGTAGTAAAACACAAATCTTCAGAAACTGCTTCAAGAGAAACAGCAGAGATCTCCAATAAACGATTTCAAATCGAAACAGGGCAGGATAAGATGACAAGAAATGTCAACGTTTGAAAATGGAAAAGCTGGAATCATAATCGCTGGCTTGATGTTGTATCTGTCTTTGGTGCAGCCTGGTGCAGAGGGTCATGGGGTTTGAAGTGGCTGCCGTTCCTGAAGAGCAGCACATGAGTCTCATTCACAGAGAGGTACAGAGTGTAAACAGACATCAAGATGCAGCGCTGCGGACTCATTTTCAGGGGAAGTTGCTACAGACAGGTCGCTGTTGCTATAAGCTGCTAAATAACGTGATGTCATTGTGTCATGACGTCAGTATGAATACATAGTGACATTACTCAAATTGACTGGCCATCTCGGCAAAAAATATGATTTAGCATTTGTTAGAGTCTTTATTTTTTAAGATCAGAAATGGGGATGCACAATATTGGATTTTTTGCCCATAAGTCATTTCCTGTTTGCACCATCGCTTTGTAATGTAAATGTAATGTAAATTTCCCTACTGTGGGACAAATACAGGATTATCTCACCTCACCTCGCCTCACCTCACCTCTTCCCTTCCTAATTTTAGTGATCATCAAGTCTCTTCTATAGTGGAATTAACATCATGTTATGCATGCATACTCTTATCCTGATGGCCCACCAGCAGATGGAAACATGAAATACAATAGTTCTCAATGTATATAATTTTCATGCATTGCGCAAAATAAGAAAAAACACATTGGCCGACACTAATAGTTCATATTAAAGACACTATCGGCCAATATTGATGATGTGCT